GTGGTAAATAAAAGTGATCACAGATTTTAATTCTTTTTGCCCTAGGGCCTTTAGTTTAGCCAGAAAATGGACTTTTATGTTTTCACTCAACAATCGAATTTCAGGGGAAATAAAAGTGATCACAGATTTCAATTCTTTTTGCCCTAGGGCCTTTAGTTTAGCCAGAAAATGGACTTTTATGTTTTCACTCAAAAATCGAATTTTGGTGGGAAATAAAAGTGATCACAGATATTAATTCTTTTTGCCCTAGGGCCTTTAGTTTAGCCAGAAAATGGACTTTTATGTTTTCACTCAAAAATCGAATTTTGGTGGGAAATAAAAGTGATCACAGATTTTAATTCTTTTTGCCCTAGGGCCTTTAGTTTAGCCAGAAAATGGACTTTTATGTTTTCACTCAACAATCGAATTTCTGTGGGAAATGAAACTTATCACAGATTTCAATTCTTTTTGCCCTGGAGCCTTTAGTTTAGCCAGAAAATGGACTTTTATGTTTTCACTGAAAAATCGAGTTTTGGTGGGAAATAAAAGTGATCATAGATTTCAATTCTTTTTGCCCTGGGGCCTTTAGTTTAGCCAGAAAATGGACTTCTATGTTTTCACTCAACAATCGAATTTCTGTGGAAAATGAAAGTGATCACAGATTTCAATTCTTTTTGCCCTAGGGCCTTTAGTTTAGCCAGAAAATGGACTTTTATGTTTTCACTCAACAATCGAATTTCTGTGGGAAATGAAACTTATCACAGATTTCAATTCTTTTTGCCCTGGAGCCTTTAGTTTAGCCAGAAAATGGACTTTTATGTTTTCACTGAAAAATCGAGTTTTGGTGGGAAATAAAAGTGATCACAGATTTCAATTCTTTTTGCCCTAGGGCCTTTAGTTTAGCCAGAAAATGGACTTTTATGTTCTTACTCAAAAATCGAGTTTTTGTGGGAAATAAAAGTGATCACAGATTTCAATTCTGATCACAGATTTCAATTCTTCTTGCCCTGGAGCCTTTAGTTTAGCCAGAAAATGGACTTTTATGTTTTCACTCAACAATCGAATTTCAGGGGAAATAAAAGTGATCACAGATTTCAATTCTTTTTGCCCTGGGGCCTTTAGTTTAGCCAGAAAATGGACTTCTATGTTTTCACTCATCAATCGAATTTCTGTGGAATATGAAAATGATTTATGTTTTCACTCAAAAATCGATTTTCTGTGGGAAATGAAAGTGATCACAGATTTCAATTCTTTTTGCCCTAGGGCCTTTAGTTTAGCCAGAAAATGGACTTTTATGTTTGCACTCATTTCTGTGGGAAATAAAAGTGAAATTCTTCTTGCCCTGGGGCCTTTAGTTTAGCCAGAAAATGGACTTTTATGTTCTTACTCAAAAATCGAGTTTTTGTGGGAACTAAAAGTGATCACAGATTTCAATTCTTTTTGCAAACAATCAAATTTCTGTGGGAAATGAAAGTGATAACAGATTTCAATTCTTTTTGCCCTAGGGCCTTTATTTTTTGGCCAGAAAATGGACTTTTATGTTTTCACTCAAAAATCAAATTTTTGTAGGAAATAAAAATTATCGCAGATTTTAATTCTTTTTGCCCTAGGGCCTTTAGTTTAGCCATAGAATGGGCTTTTATCTTTTCACCCAAAAATCGAGTTTTCGTGGGAAATAAAAGTGATCACAGATTTCAATTCTTTTTGTCCTAGGGCCTTTAGTTTAGCCAGAAAACGGACTTCTATCTTTTCACTCAACAATCGAATTTCAGGGGAAATAAAAGTGATCACAGATTTCAATTCTTTTTGCCTTGGGGCCTTTAGTTTTGCCAGTAAATGGACTTCTATGTTTTCACTCAACAATCGAATTTCTGTGGGAAATGAAACCGATCACAGATTTCAATTCTTTTTGCCCTGGAGCCTTTAGTTTAGCCAGAAAATGGACTTTTATGTTTTCACTGAAAAATTGAGTTTTTGTGAGAAATAAAAGTGATTACAGATTTCAATTCTTCTTGCCCTGGAGCCTTTAGTTTAGCCAGAAAATGGACTTTTATGTTTTCACTCAAAAATCGAATTTTTGTGGGAAATAAAAGTGAACACAGATTTCAATTCTTTTTGCCCTAGGGCCTTTAGTTTGGCCAAAAAATGGTCTTTTATGTTTTCACTCAACAATCGAATTTCTGTGGGAAATAAAAGTGATCACAGATTTCGATTCTTTTTGCCCTAGGGCCTTTAGTTTGGCCAGAAAATGGACTTTTATCTTTTCACTCAAAAATCGAGTTTTGGTGGGAAATAAAAGTGATCACAGATTTCAATTCTTTTTGCCCTAGGGCCTTAAGTTTAGCCAGAAGATGGACTTTTATGTTTTCACTCAACAATCGAATTTCAGGGGAAATAAAAGTGATCACAGATTTCAATTCTTTTTGCCCTAGGGCCTTTAGTTTAGCCAGAAAATGGACTTTTATGTTTTCACTCAACAATCGAATTTCAGGGGAAATAAAAGTGATCACAGATTTCAATTCTTTTTGCCCTAGGGCCTTTAGTTTAGCCAGAAAATGGACTTTTATGTTTTCACTCAACAATCGAATTTCAGGGGAAATAAAAGTCATCACAGATTTCAATTCTTTTTGCCCTAGGGCCTTTCGTTTAGTCAGAAAATGTACTTTTATGTTTTCACTCGACAATCGAATTTCTGTGTTTCAATTCTTTTTGCCCTAGGGCGTTTAGTTTAGCCAGAAAATGGACTTTTATGTTTTCACTCAACAATCGAATTTCTGTGGGAAATGAAAGTGATCACAGATTTCAATTCTTTTTGCCCTAGGGCCTTTAGTTTAGCCAGAAGATGGACTTTTATCTTTTCACTCAAAAATCGAGTTTTGGTGGGAAATAAAAGTGATCACAGATTTCAATTCTTTTTGCCCTAGGGCCTTAAGTTTAGCCAGAAAATGGACTTTTATGTTCTTACTCAAAAATCGAGTTTTTGTGGGAACTAAAAGTGATCATAGATTTCAATTCTTTTTGCCCTGGGGCCTTTAGTTTTGCCAGAAAATGGACTTCTATGTTTTCACTCAACAATCGAATTTCTGTGGAAAATGAAAGTGATCACAGATTTCAATTCTTTTTGTCCTAGGGCCTTTAGTTTAGCCAGAAAATGGACTTTTATGTTTTCACTCAACAATCGAAATTCTGTGGGAAATGAAACTGATCACAGATTTCAATTCTTTTTGCCCTGGAGCCTTTAGTTTAGCCAGAAAATGGACTTTTATGTTTTCACTGAAAAATCGAGTTTTTGTGGGAAATAAAAGTGATCACAGATTTCAATTCTTCTTGCCCTGGAGCCTTTAGTTTAGCCAGAAAATGGACTTTTATCTTTTCACTCAAAAATCGAGTTTTGGTGGGAAATAAAAGTGATCACAGATTTCAATTCTTTTTGCCCTGGGGTGTTTCGTTTAGTCAGAAAATGGACTTTTATGTTTTCACTCAACAATCGAATTTCTGTGGGAAATTAAAGTGATCACATATTTCAATTCTTTTTATCCTGGGGCCTTTAGTTTAGCCAGAAAATGGACTTTTATGTTTTCACTCAACAATCGAATTTCTGTGGGAAATTAAAGTGATCACATATATCAATTCTTTTTATCCTAGGGCCTTTAGTTTAGCCAGAAAATGGACTTTTATGTTTTCACTCAACAATCGAATCTTTGTGGGAAATAAAAGTGATCACAGATTTTAATTCTTTTTGCCCTAGGGCCTTAAGTTTAGCCAGAAAATGGACTTTTATGTTTTCACTCGACAATCGAATTTCAGGGGAAATAAAAGTGATCACAGATTTCAATTCTTTTTGCTCTAGAGCTTTAAGTTTAGCCAGAAAATGGACTTTTATGTTTTCACTCAAAAATCGAATTTTTGTGGGAAATAAAAGTGATCACAGATTTCAATTCTTTTTGCCCTAGGGCCTTAAGTTTAGCCAGAAAACGGACTTTTATGTTTTCACACAAAAATCGAATTTTGGTGGGAAATAAAAGTGATCACAGATTTCAATTCTTTTAGCCCTAGGGCCTTTCGTTTAGCCAGAAAATGGACTTTTATGTTTTCACTCAAAAATCGAATTTCAGGTGAAATAAAAGTGATCACAGATTTCAATTCTTTTTGCCCTAGAGCCTTAAGTTTAGCCAGAAAATGGACTTTTATGTTTTCACTCAAAAATCGAATTTCTGTGGAAAATGAAAGTGATCACAGATTTCATTTCTTTTTGCCCTAGGGCCTATAGTTTAGCCAGAAAATGGACTTTTATGTTTTCACTCAACAATCGAATTTCTGTGGAAAATGAAAGTGATCACAGATTTCAATTCTTTTTGCCCTAGGGCCTATAGTTTAGCCAGAAAATGGACTTTTATGTTTTCACTCAACAATCGAATTTCTGTGGGAAATGAAAGTGATTTCAATTCTTTTTGCTCTAGGGCCTTTCGTTTAGCTAGAAAATGGACTTTTATGTTTTCACTCAAAAATCGAATTTCTGTGGGAAATAAAAGTGATCACAGATTTCAATTCTTTTAGCCCTAGGGCCTTATTTTAGCCAGAGAATTGACTTTTATGTTTTTTATTTTGGGGAGAAATAAATGTGATCACAGATTTCAATTCTTGTTGCCCTAGGGCATTTAGTTTAGCCAGAAAATGGAGTTTTATGTTTTCTTCACATAAGAATGATTAAATGCATATTAATTAAGAAAGTTAGAGCATTTTAAGTTTTGGGTGAAAAAACAGATTTTTGTGGGAAATAATAGTCTTATGAGTTGTTTCTAGATTACGCGTGAGCAGTTTGAGGTAAAACTTTACTTGTATTTTGTTTTTGTTACAATAACAATATACAAGTAAAATTTGTGCTCAAACTGCTCGCACATTATCTAGAAGCAACACATTAAAGTAGCTTTTAGGGGGATATAACGCTATTTTGCTATAAAAACAAATATTTTTTATATTGTATATAATTTAAAAGTTAATTTATAAATTTACATTTTATTTTATTTTTAGTCTGCTAATATGTCTATTCAAGCTATAAATGGAGCTGCAACTCTAATTAACTGTAGAAAATTTGTTATAACAACATACGACTTATTTACTGTAAGTACATGTTTTATTTGTTGTTATTTGGAAGTGTTCGTTTAGGATAGAAGTTTATGTAGGAAACAGTTATCAAGCTTTACTCTGTTCCGAATATTTTATATGAATGTGTTTGTAGACTTTAATATGATGTAATTTTACCATATCCCTGCATATTTAAATATTTTGTAAAATACAGTAAAATGTT